TCTCTCCATCTGGGAAAAATAGCAGGTTGAAGTCATCCCTGCTGGTTTTGTGCAGTGTTGCATGAGCTTGCAACGTGGAGGGGTCAGAGCAGGCAACTTTGCTTACTTGTTGCTTACCTTGGGCAACGAGTAGACTAAGAAACTGTCACAGGTGCCTTCCATGGAAACTGAACAGGGCCTTTGCAAGCAGAAGATTGCTGTTTTCAGGGAAATTGCTGCATACCATGTTGCTGCCCAGTTTGAATCAGAACGTTGCAAGCGGGATGTTGTCTGAAGTGTTCAGCATCTCTTTTCTGCCACGTTCCTCCATTTTTCAGACAGGAGCACTCTGACAACTATGCACTGGAATATTAATTAACCCAATAACATTTTTTGATCTCATGCTGAACTCGTAATTCCTTATGAATGCTCATTCCCAGTCTGTGGGATACACAGCTGAGTCCCTCATCCATTAGGTTATGCATTGTATACCCCCAGTCTGAACCGTGAACTGAGGACAAACAGTTACATATGCATTTCATGAGCACGTTATAATTGGCAGCAAATAAGAGAGAAAGTTTGTCTTTGTGTTTGGTTTTCTGGGTTTAATTTTTAGTTAAGATTGATTGTAAGGCCTTTAGGCAACCCTAACATAAAATGAATAATCTGTTCATGTATTCAGATGTTGCTTAGCACCATAGAGTTTCTACAGGATACAATAATAGAAGTATTCATAATAAAAACCAATACCTTGCAACACAGAACAAAGGCCTCATTATCCAGCAACTTCTTGAAGGCTGAAATGTAAAATCAGAACAAAAGTATTTCCCAAGTAATGACAGACTACGTGGGTGTAAGTCTGGACCAGCATTATTATCTCTCCCTCATGTGATATGTCATGTCTTGTCCTGGCTCCAAAATATTTGGAAAATGCCTTGCTTTGTTTTCTGCTTCAGCTTTTTTTTTTTTTTTTTTTTTATTCCCCCTCAGGATCCACCCTCTGAGAGACAGATTTTTGTCAGAGATGTATGAAATTGTTTTCCTTGAATGCAGTGCTCTTACAGGCCTGACCTCAGGGAATAACATAAAGGCTATAGGCATGATGGAACGCTAATGATCAAACTTTCAGAAATGCTGCCATTTGTATCTTCAAATTGCAAACATTCGAAGTCTTATGTTCCTGCCCAATTTTATGTTGCCTTTCTGTCTATATTCCCAATGAATCTTATACTGCCATCTGTCTTTGCTCGTACCCAGTACTGCTCAGCAATGAACAACTCTGAATGTAAAGCAGGTACTGATGGTGCCTGCTCAAGGGGAACACTGCCCACAGCTGCTTTCTCTGTATTTCTGTCAGCACGGTGGAAGCAATCTGGAGGTGCTATTACTATTTTTTTGTCCGTGCATATGTTGAGAGCAGATTTAGAGTTGATTCATCATCTCTAGAAAGGATCAAATGCACTATAATCTTGATATATTGCCATGCATTTTCCAGAATCTACCGCACACTTAGTTCCTGGATGGTGACAGACATCCTCTCAACTGAGATATGGAACATGGGACAGAGTTGTTTTGGTCTTCATTCTTGCTGTTCAGAATTCACTTACCTAACTTCATACATGGATTTGTAACTACTTCAGTGTTGACAAGAAAGTTCATGCAGTTAAGAAGAATCTTGTCTTAATCCAGGCAGCCTGAAATACAGATTCTATGCTGCCTGAAGTAACATGGAAAAGCCATGAGGAACAGTGAACCTTCTTAACATGGTGCCAAATCAGGTGTTTTCTGCTTACAACTGAGGAAAATCTAGAAGATTCTGATTGTAATTACAATTACTGATATAAGCGATCTAACGATGGAGTTAAGTCTGAGCAGTTCTATGGGTTAGCTGTTCTTAGTTGCTTCTGCCTGGAAATATACAATCAACAAAGGTGCAAGGGAAAAGGAAACACTTTCTGTTTTGTTCTTCAGTTAATTAAATTCCAAGTACATTAAATTTCAGTTAATTAAATTTTGGGTCAAATAATTAGGAGTACATAAATAAAAATTATATATATAATTTTTTTTTTTCCCCAGCTTGATTTTACCTCAGAAACAGGGCACATTAAAAGAATGCCAACCTGGTAAGCATCAGTAAAATAGTTGGTATGAAAGTTAAACATTAGCTGCCTTTTATGATCTTTGTGAAAAGGGTTATTATTTTATGGAGAAAACATTTGTTCTACCTACGTCTTACAGTGAAAGGAAAAACACTATAAAAATAGACTAAGTATGGGAACAGCTATATTTAAATAAACACGGTGTGCATCAGAGACATTAAGTATCCAAAATGAACAGAGTAAGCAGAAGTGGCCACAAGTTAAGGAAAGTGGTCTAGTGAAAGAGGGGGATATTAGAATTGCTTCACTAACAGTCTTTCAGGACTTGGCAGGGGAAACAGAGGAAATCAAGCAGCAATGGATAAACAACCTATGGCAGGAAGCACTAAGCATGTAAGCACTAGCAGCAGTCATACTCCAACACAAATTATTTCCTGGGTTGTTTGGTTGTCCAGATCTTAGTCTGGCTGCTTAACAGGAGTGAGCAGTTCTGAATTAAGGTATGGATATTCCCCTCAATATGAGTAAGTTAAGAAATGCTCAACATTTATGTCTTGAAATGAGGGAAGAATGAAGTAAGTCCTTGCAGTGGGATGGAATTAACCTTAAGTTGGTTTGCATTTATTTCACCAAAATAGATTTAAATGCTCTCGGGTTTAGTGCACTCCAAACACTGAGAACGCTTGCTTTTCAGATTATTTCTATAAACCTCAAGAACATACTTTTTCTAGAAGGAATGGTTTAAATATATCTTTTTTGCTTTACATAGTCCAGTTCTATATAACCCACATTTTTCTCTGTTCTGACCTTAGAGCCTGTGCCATTCAAACTCTTTTGCAATACTTACGTTTTCTGCAACCAGTTGCTTTCCTTCTTGACTGCCCTCTACTCTGTACTTTACTCATCTTGCTTCAGCTCCATTTTCCTTGCTTCCTTAGTGGATCCCTTCTATCAGCAGCGGCAGCATGAGCACAGCTAACTTGCTAGCACCTTTCCATTTTCAGAGTTAAGCAATATTTGGGGGCCAAATTCTGTACATGAATATCCTTAGCAAAATTGCAAAGTCACATATACAACTGAGGCATATACAACTGAAATTACAACATCCAGAAATGTTCTAACAGTGTTTGGTACTTTTCCTTGCCTGCTAATCTCATCTTACTCCGCAGGCATTCTGCTCGGCATTATTATTTTAAAACAACTTTAAAGTCTGCATAGCAAGCTCTTGTCTGGCAGGTCTATCAAAAGAAGCTAAAACTGCATACCTCAAAGCCAAGGATGCTAAAATGCCAGGTGAACAAAGGAGTAAGAGTATTTCACAGGCTTCCTTTCCTGTGTCAGACTACGTGACAAACTGGCCTTTAGAGGCTTCCTGCTGTTTGACAGAGAGGATTTTGTCTGTACATGGAAGAAGGATACCCTCCTGCTCCAGAACTTCAGCAGTCCAGCTGCATCACGCAGTACGGCTGGAGAGTGATGACTTACCAAGGAAGATGCTCTTTTATTTCGTGAGGTCTGTCATTTGGCAGTTCATCCCTTTTAGCATCCAGACTCCTTTAACAATTCATGTAGGAGTAGAGGATAGCTCGGCACTTCCCTTTGGACACAAAGTGAAGTTTTTCCTACTCTTTTGACCTTGAGACTTTTCACACCTTAGTAAGTTCTACCCTGAGGCACACTGAATGTGCTCGTTGCCCACAGACAGAATGGGTTCAGTGTAAGCAGCTGAGGTATCTTACCTGCTGTCTGCACCTTCCCCAAAACAGTGCAGATTCTTTTCTCCCTCTGCCTCTAAATCACTTGGGACCAATACTTGCAGACCGTCTTACCATTCTGGAATCTATCACAGCAGGTGTCTGATCAGAATAGTCTGTGATCCAGTTTGCATTTGGCATGACTCTTCCAACATTTCATAGATATTCCTCATAAAAGTTCAGTTAAAAATCTACACCCAGTTGCTACGTGGGACTCTAAAACTGGTGCCAGCATACTAAAAGCAGTGTCTTATTAAGGCAACTTCTTGTACCAAACTAGAATGGGAGATGGTTTCCTAGCCTGGACCTGCAAAAGATGGATATGAACTGGCAAAAGCACGCTTTTGATGGTCCAGGATGGGCATGACTTTTAATTCTTGGCCCTTAGGACACCTATGCAAAGCAGCCTATGTAAAGAGGTCATCAAAAGCAGTATTAGTTCAGATAAACACAAAACAGGTTACATAATTACCTCCCTGCCCTTAAGCTTGGTTGTGTTGGCTTTTGTTGTTGTTTATTTTGTTTTTACCCTAGACTTTCCTAAATAATGACTGTGTGGCAGCCTGTGGAATTACTTGCGGAACACAGTCCCTAGTCTTGAAGGTTTTTATGGTGTTTTCAGGTTCCTGGGGTATTTTTACAGAATGCTGAGCAGTCCATCTTGTTTGAAGAGACTGACAGTTAATGGAACGGGAGTATAAAAACATCTTTATCGAGTTACCAAAGCTGCTCCTTGTTTACCTGGGTTCCATCTAGAGAAAGTGCCTGTCTGGGCCTTAGATAAACCAACTGCTGGCCCATTCTTCAGGTTTGCCTGCCCTCTGCTGCCTTCTCAGGCAATTTCATGGGATTCAGAAGGACTGATTAAAGCTCTCGTTGTGGCTATTACTATGCATTTCAAGGAGACTTTCATAACATGCACACTGAAAAGTATACATGGAAATTAGAATGTACCATGACATACCCTTGTAACCGGAGCTACAGACTCCAATTTAATTCAGTGTGATAAAAATTACATATTGGCAATTATGTGATAGATACAAATGATGCTTGTATTCAGATGACAGTAATCTTCATAAGGGATTAAATTGTATCATGTAATTTGAATGTGTACTTTGGAGTATTGCATGTTTGCTGTGCAAGTAGTTTGTATCCTGCTTTATTTCAGGAAGGCTTTTCTTTAATTGATTGCCACAAATGGTTAAAGATAGTAAGAAGAGCAGACTGCCTGCTGCTTTGTGCAAAGTCAAAGGTGGGTTGAGTTAATTTTAATATTTCCAATTGCTAACTCAGTTCTGTTTCTTAAGGTTTCCTAATATTGGATAAATTAAACCAGAAATTCTGAGATAATGTACATTGTGTATATAAATTAAAGTCATTTTTTTGTTTTGTTTTGTTTTGTAATTTAAGTATGAAACAAAACTGAATTGAATCATCGTAATGGCTTTTGTAGCTGCTGCTATGTGAGACTTTTAGACTGCTTTCTGAGAGTTAGCTATTAAAACAGCTAGACTGGTATTTATTTTAGAGTTCATCTGCCAGCATGACTGTATAAAACCTGAAATGGGCCCACAGTGTGGAAACTGCACTGCTAACAATTAAAGAAATGAAGCAATTCTCTGACATGTACAGAAGCCTGCTACCTATCAGTCATACTTCGCTGTGGCCCATGAAGTATTTAAAGCAATTATTTAGCTATTTTCTGGCTCCTGAGACCTGGCACAGTAGTGCCCAGTAGGCGATTCAGACATTCGATATTCAGATTAATAGAAGAGACCTGAGTTTCTGTCTTCCCCTCAGATCTCATGCAAAGGGGTTGGCTAGCCTTTAAAAAATTACATGGCATTTGTTTGTTACCAACTTAAGTGTAAGATGCAGTTTTCTTGGTTCTTAGGTGAAGTCTGGGAAAGTCCTTAACCATCTGTGCTGAGCAGTTTTTTCAGAAACAAAAGCTGTTTCTAAATGAGAATAGCCCTCCCTCCTCTGCTGATACTTTCTAGGCTTTGTTGTTTCAGCCAAAACAGTTGCTTCCAGTTTAGCTATCTCTACGTGATGAGGGAGTTCATCTTTAGTTAGAAACAGGAATTTTGGAAAGAGATAAGCCCCCCGTTCAGTAGCTGCTAGAGACCAGTTTTAACTGTTGGCACAGAGCACTGAACTATTAAGGCATAAAAACATCTCAAGTATTCTGAGACGTTCTGGCATTCTCCCCTGACAGGAACAGAGCGGGTTATTATAATTGCAAATAGCAGTATCCAGGAGAGCTGGAAACTGCAAAAATTCTTCCTTACTTCTATTTGTATCTCTTATCTGATTCCTTTCAAGAAAGGTGCATAACTGTTTTTTTTCATAGGATGTTACAAACCAAAGAGTACAATTTGCAAAGTGGAATGCCTTGCTAATTGCAAGATAAAAGCACACGTGAGGTATAATAAACATTGTACAGATATAAGGACTCATCTTGTTTCAAAATAAGCCTAAACTAATGGTAGCACTAGGAAATGCAAAAAATAAGTATCTTGATGTGTTTTAAATTCATGGGTTATGCTTGCCTGAAACCAAAACACCTTTGTTCTCTGATTTTTGTCAGATGATTGTTATAAAATGTGGAATATCATTGGAGAAGACTATTGAGCTGTTGAAACAATTAGTTCTGATGAATCAGTAGATCATCAGTTTCCTTTGGAATTAACAGAACCAGTTCCCCAGCACAGCATTAAGGGACTCTACTGCATCTCACAAGAAACAAAAATCAACGTCACAATCATTTTGAGGCTCGAAGAAAGCTCTGAGGGACATTTTGGAAAAGGAGGAATATTAACATAGTCTTAAATGAATTCACTGCATCCAAATGTTTACTTACCATAAATTCTCATGACTTAAAGTGGATTTAATGGTATTGCAGCAGTCCTATCATATAGCTTCTCTACTTTGTATCCTAAATTGTAGCTGAAACAATCCCTTAAATGCTATCAGTGCATATTGCTTCTGTGCTAATCCTCAAAATCATTTAAAAATATTCAGGGAGCCAGCCACGCTATGTGAAGGGTTATGTCTTAGTCCCTGGTAGACTGAAGCAGAGTTGAGAAAGACAAAGCAGAAGCCATTTAAGCAGAGGAAAGCAAGCTATGTTTTCAAATACCAGTTCCTATATTTGCATGCACAAAGCAATTAAGGGGCATGTGCAACTAACTACTATTCTAATGTTTCTGATATACCTTCTGCTCCTTGTTTTCAGTCTGATTTCCTTACTTTACTGGTTTCAGTTATTTTCTTTCTTCTCTGCTTTTCCACCCTCTGCATATTACCTGCTTCACAGTTATAGGTAATCTATGTCAAAAAAGCATGGAGGTTAATCACTGGGATTATGTACTTCAGAAGAAACTGAGTGAACATTAAAAGATTGGCTTTTGAAAGTCATTAATATACACTGACAGTGAAACTTACTCTCATTTCTTATAAAATACTCTTTTAATAGGGCATTGTGGACTCTAAGCTAGCAAAATGAGTTTCTAAACTAGACTTTGAGAAATTTAGTGTTACCATGCTTAAAAGCAAGACCTTTCACAGACTAGTACTAAAACTCAGATATACTATCAGAAACTTTATTCAGTGAAACATATGTGCATGTAATTCTGAAGCCATACCTGTCAGGTGCACACTTGTGTCTTAGAATGAAGGCTGCATGGCTGACTACCCTTTCTACAGCTCCATCACTAGTAATTGCTCACATTGGTCTTTGATGTGCCCCTATGTAGAAGAAAAAAAACTTTAATCTGAAAATCTGTAAACAGTAGCAATTCTTACTATTCTTGTAGTAGGCCATTCCCCTTCATACTGCTTTCACTGAGCTCACCCTCTCTAGCGTGGGAAGATTGAAGTGATCTCAAAAGTTCTTCAGTACTTCAGCTCTTGAACTCTTCAGTTCAGGTGCTGCTGCCTAGCACTGTTAATGGTAAAACTTGATGCACAGCTGAAATGGATTGCTCTCTTTCTGTAAAGGAAAAAGGTGTTTAGTTCACAAAACCTACTGTCTGTAACTGTAATCCTAAGTATCTAACCATTCAGTCCCTGCAAAAAGGCAAATGGCAATACAAATTGTTCTGACTGAAAATGGATTTGCAGATGGTAGGGGTAACTAAAATAAGAGTTCTTTGAAAGTCTCCAAAAAGAATTCAAATTAAGATGGAATTTACTTTTCTCTCATTTTAATGAGAACTTAACTGTCTGGCATAGCCACAAATCAGTGCTCAGTTACGTGAAGTTGACCCAGTTAAGCTGACACCTTCATTAATGACAGGAGATCTAACTGGGTGCTGGTAAAAACAAGTGCTACCATCTGAATTATTTTGACTTTTTCCCTTTAAAAGGCATCAAGGAAGCCTTTTATACTCACAGCGCCGTAAAAATCACTTTACGCAATAGCCACATCTTAAAATAACATGCATATAAACATACAGACTGTCACAAAGAGCTGGGTCATCTTTGAGACAAAAAACTTTAAAGTGAAAGATGTCCTTGTATTCATGTAAATCAGCAGGCTAGCAGTGTGTCTAGACATTTTAAAAAATGGCTTTGATGTTGAAACCTTAGAGAGATGAAGACTTATAAGCTGTATCAGTCCAAGGAAAGAAAAACTTGCTCCTTTTCTGGTGCTTTAACGATGTTTTACATTTGAAATTTCAAGATCAAACTGAAAGTCCCAGTAATACACTCTATAAACAAGTGCATTCAATATGTAGCTGCCTTTTATCAGTAGGATGTGTTTAAGAGAAGCTTATTGTGCATGACAGGTTCTCCGTGTATTTAAAAAATACTATTGTTCAGCATGACAAGCTACACCGGGGGTTGATTTTGTGCAATTCTCAATATTATGTCACTACTTGAAGTAACTAATTCTTCATTTTATTAACCAGGAAGATTCTCATAATGAAATATATATGCTGATGTATATGTACAGTATCTGCCATTTCATGTCCAAGGACAGCTGCAGTGAGCCAGTCTGAACGTCTGCATCATTGCAAGAGAGGTGGACTAAAACTGGTTTCCAGCAAGAAAGTTTCCAAGGAATGATTTCAGGGAGAGGTTACAGAATAGCTTTCCATTTGCATAGTACTCTTCCTGCTGAAGCATTTCAGTTTCTTTCACTCCTGATTAACTGCATTAACTTCTACTCAAGGAACAGTGGCATTAAGTTGGAATGCTAAACTTAATTTATATTTAGCTATGCACACTAGGTAGGAAAGGCTGATTTTAATGCAGACAATATAAATTCTAAATGGAACATAATTCCCAGAACTTTTAGTTTAGATGCCAAAGTTGACTTGTGCTTACTTCAGTGCCACCTCATTTATTGTCACCAATAACCAGTCAGAGTTGGAATATCCTTAGGGAGTTTGCAGCAATAATAAGAACTTAGATTTCCCTGCTATAACTGTACCCATTGTTATGGCAAAACGCTTAGTTGTATTAGTCGTAAGTGTCCCTGCTTGCTTTTTTTTTTTTTTTTAAACTGATCTTCAAATTGCAAATTATAGTCTCATCTAGCTGTTGGGATAAATGAAAATACAGCATGGAAAACTTGATTTTTTTTACCTTGGTGCAGTGATCCAAGAATTAATCACCATCTACCTAACTATATCTAATAGCTTAATTAAATCAAAATACTTTGAGGGGATGAACAGTTAATTTCTTTTTTGTTTTTGAGCAGAATGAATGCCGCATGTTTCGAGTTCAGTTTGGTGGAGATTCAAAACAACAGATGTTGGAACACTGCTGCAATTGTGTTCAGAAACTTGCGGAGTACGTACCTGTTCAAGTAACCGACGACCAAAGCCAGAACCTTTGTCACAGTCTCAGTGGTGGAAGTCAAGCAGAAGATGCTGAACAAGTACTACATGTAGTAAGCAAGCAAGAGTATGTGGATGCAAAAACAGGAAAACGGCCACCTATCAGTGCTAGATCTGTAAATGACAGCCTATTCTACTTAAGTACAGACTCTGAGACAAAAAAAAAAAAAAAAATCAGCAGAGCTCAATAGCACAATATTTTTTATAGTTCTGTATCTGTTTACATCAAACCAGTGTTTCTCATAGCAAATGAATTTACTTTTTTTTTTCTCCCCTCTAGCCAGCTACTTCATATTTTGTATCTCAGGAACTGTATTAATTTTCGTGAAAGCTGGTATGGGAAGAACTGGGAAACCTAAAGATCAGCTTGCATGCAGGGAAACTCAGTTAGTGAACCGGAATGGAATCATTCAGGAAGTCAGCTACAGAAGCTGGCTATCATATTGCCATTTTCTCAGTGTGCCTGAAAAAGGTTAACAAAATAACACTCTAAAAAAAGTGGTTTTAGCTCCTCAAGCTGGGAACCACCTGGCAGCTTTTCAGCTGAATTACACAGCTCAAGAAAAATGGTCAGAGACATTTAAGTAACCATGACTTGTGTTCTCTTTTTTGCATTTACCTACTCCTGTTTTGTAGTTTTAATAAGTGTACACATAGCAATTGTATACATTTTAGCTTAACCTGACACATTTAGATGTGATTTCAGGGTAGGAGCAAATGTTTTCCCTCTAAGACACTGACTTAAGGGGATTGGAAGAGGCAAAAGCAGTGTTGCTGAGGATGACTAATTCTTTAATATACAGTCTCTTGGTAAACGTGATCTTCTGAATAGCCATCCCTAAAAAACATCCATGCAGCTAACTCAGCCAGGGAAACTGTTGAGTATGCAATAAAATACCAAGGGCCAAGAACAGCATCCTGAAAAGGGAATGTCAAAGTTTTCAGCTGCATTATTTTCACGATATAATCCAGGAAATGTCCTACATGACTGGACAGTGAAAACAACATGTGGTAGAGATAGTGGGGGGAAGAGGTGGACGATACTGGTAATTTGACTTACACTATTTGAAGGAAGATGTACAGGAGATGTATGACCTTCAACATCTGATCTTCAAGATTCATTGCTTGGTCTTTAAGCACACTTATCTATCCGTTGGGCTTTGCTCCTTTCCTGATGAGTTAAAGAATGACAGTTCAATTAACTACTTAAAGGCAGAATACTATTCTACACTACTAGTCACACTATTGGTATCACTTTGCTCTCACTCTGTGACTGAAAGCCTCACTCAGAGAACAGAATTGACACCTCAAGCCATCTTTTCAATGATATAACCCATGGGAAGTTAAAAAGCCTGCTCCTGGTGAGCACTCTTGCACAGTGTTTCTTTAAAGGTACTTCCAGTAAGTAGTTTAAAAGTTACCTTGGTTTAGATATGACAGTTTAACTACAGGCCCATTATTTCATGTCTTTCATTTCTGAAGACTTTAACAGATGTGCTTTAAAGTTCCATAAAAAGAGATGCCTTTTTACTGCATAAGGTAGCTGAGCACATTCTCTTCCCGTTCTCTCTAAAAATGGAACCATTTCCCTTCTTGCACATACCCACTCTCTTCTTGGTAACCAGCTTATTTGCATTTGATATTTTCTAGCCAGATGAGCCTCTACCAGATTCCTACACAAGCCTTGGAGAAAGAAGATCTGTAACACAGCTAGCACAGGTAAAAAGAACAAATAAATCTAACTTGGATCCTGTATCTAAATCTCTCAAGCACAGAGGAAAAGCTCTCTCATATGCTGTAAATGCCTGGTAGGTGTCTTCACAGAAGATGTGGATGCTATCAGTGCTGTTGTCTGTACTAACAAAAACACTGGCTCTAGCGTAATGATCTGGAACTAGGAAATAAGCTGCAACGCCAGAGATTTCATGGTGTAATTATACCATTTGCCTAAGAACGTGCTGCCACACCGAGAGCAAAGAAATACCCAGAGGTCACTTATAAATAAATGTCACTGACTCTGCAGATATTATCTCTACTTAGTTTAAGTCTGAAAACATCAATCATTCTCGACCTACAGCAAGAGATCCATAATTCAATTGACAATTCAACCAAAAGTCCAGGGTAAAGCTGTGCTTAAAATTAGTGGGAGTTAAATGTTGCTTATTGTGAATTTGGGACAGCACAGAACAAGATGACTGGGGAGAAAACCACACTCTTTCAAACCTGTTTTTTGTGCAGTTGCTTCTAATGGTTACTAGTTTCTTTTGCCTTATCGACGGAGTGATGGAGTTGTTTCTTCACATCAGTGGCTTAAGGGACAACTCCTATGCTCCCTCTTAAAAATTTATCATCTTTAAAACCTAAATGCTTTTAATTGTTAACAAACACTTTGTTTTCATAAAGCAGAGTTCCCCAAACTCTCTACCTGTGTTGAGAGCTGCAGCACATACCTTGCTGTTTCATTCACAGGTTTGTTTTCTCTCCTTGTAGTGATCCTCCAGACTGTAGCCTAGTACTTCTAGTTATGCTGAAGCTTGACAACAATGGGACTGACTGACTTGCTTTACTCATTATAAGCATCACTGATTACTGCTTAGGAAGTCACTGGAAAAGCTCTATATGCCCCCTGCTAGGCAGTTGAGTGCAAACCTAAAACTACATCCATTACCCTTCTACTTGGGCTCAGAGAGCAAGCTCAACATCAGAGGCTACCTACAGTATTTTTTGTGTATCTTTGTGCTTCTTATCTGCAGTGAAGGCAGATGGATTAATTGACAATGTGAACAGTAGCCTCAGGACCGCGCTAGGTCCTCCAGTTTCCCTGATGCTACCTGTGAGCCTTAAACAGATGGAATTAGTGACAGTGGTTGCACAGGGCACAGTATGCCCTTCCTGTCCCAGGGCTAATTTAGCTCTGCTGTTGAACACTCAGTACAGAGCGATCAGACACGGCAGAGCTTGCCTTTAGCAACTGTTTTTTTCCATAATCATTTCACAACTAATTTCTGCTTTAAGAGGCAATACTAGGAAATGTAAATTAATACCACATTATAAGACCTCAGGTTCTAAAAATTTCTTTTTTAATCACAAATGCATGATACCTGCTTCTGAACAAAGCTATCTGCTAACAAGGCTTTTTATTTGCTGTATGCTTTAATCCATCTCTCCCTTGAATTACCAGCAAATTCCCTTTCAAAGACTCCTTGATGTAGTTTCATACATCATTCACTGCTTGTCCCTCCACTTTCTAGTCAGCTTAACTCAACTGTACTGTGAGCTGATTTCCCATGCCCTGACAATATGAAGTTAATTCAGGGCTGAGCGTCTTTTCCTAGTTCTCTTTGGAGACATACCCATTCAGCTGGTGCTCTGGAGCAGCATGGGGAAGTATTTCTGCATTTGTGCCAGAAATATGCATGGCAAAAGCTTTGGTTATATAATATATTAATATATAAAATATACCTGAAAGAGAATAATCATTTTTAAACACTCTATTTTGCGTTTAAAGATGCTTTTCTCCAATCAACACTATGACATGAGATAGGACAACATCAACAGTGCAATTTTGAACCAGTAAGATTAGGAAAAATTAGATTCCCCCCTCCCACAAACACAGCTTGATGTGAGCATGCCCAAGCAGCCCACCTCATTACTTTGCCCTGTTTTCAGGTTCAAGCAGCGGAAGCTAGGGCCTGACTGAAACTAACAGCAATCCTGACTTTTCCAGATGGAGAGGCTTGGTTTAGCCCTAGTATGTCATTAGGCATACCAAGGAAGAGGCCAAGTGAGGTGTTTGAAGTTCTTTAAGCCCAGCTACGTCAGACCCCCCTCCATAACACAAGGACCACTCACCTTGCTCACCAGCTGCCTCTGCATATCATGCTTACCTCACATGAAAGCAGCACTTCATTGACTTCCGTACTCCGGCTCTCCCATGCAGAGTATCCAAACAGCATCTTAGCTGATGCTTTTATGACTTCAGAACAGACAGGTAAAGCAATTTAGAAAGCAGGTGGGTGGCAATGTCTGTATTTGCAGCCTGAACAACAGGACAGCATTGGTACACAAACATTTAAAGTCATTAACACGCACTGTGAATAATGAGATTTACAATGAGCAGCAACCCTGGCTGCGGCAGGGCCTATACTCTGTGAAGTTGCCATTTCTTCAGTATGGCTCCCCATCCAGCAGGAACACTGGCAGCCAGCCAAAATGAAGCGTTAGTCGAGATGCCTCAGATGGTTGTTGTAGTCACACAGCAGCATGGAAAGTGCTCAGGAGCTGCCCAGCAACCTCCCAGGCCATTAGCCTCGCACGCTTCTCCGCTGTACCTAATGGATGAGATCTGGCATCGTCCATGGATGCCAGGAGGCGGTGAGGGCCTCCTTGAGCTCAGTGCATGCTGCTACTAGATTTGAAGTGAAAAATAGCATGACTGGCATCCTTCCTGCACCACCAAGGGAAAAGCTGAGAGCAGGGGTCAAGTTGGGATGAAAAAGATGTTCTACACCTTTCAAAAAGCCCCATTTACTTCTAAGAGACAATTTGCTAAATTAAGAGCTTAGAACCACATTGTTTTGTTATCCCTGCTCAATTACAACTGCAGTACATGCCTTTCGCAGAGGATCCTTTTCTCTTACACAGAATGGATTCACTAGGAAGTCATGTTACCCAGGAAACCAGCATTTCATAATGGCACAGGCACGAATTCAGAGCTGCACGAGAACTATACTAGAATTGAAACCAGGTGTGAGGGGGAAAGAGTTCCACAGATAAATCATATAGGATTGAAAGTATTCAAACAGCATAATAACAAGGCAGATGCATCTTTATTAAATACTGAAGGAAAATCTGACGTAGCTGCATCATTACAAAAACCATGTAATGCTACTTTTTATGTACAAGATTAGTGCAACACCTTTGTTTTTCCTTTTGCAGTCTGTGCTGAAACAGAAGTTTGAGCTCCCCCTTGTGTATCGGCATTCAGTGTGGAGCGCACAAGAGCTGGGGCCCTTCATTCGCTTATGTCTTATGGATCAGAATTTCCCAGCTTTTGTGGAAGATGTGGAGAAGGAACTGAAAAAAATCACGGAAGGCTGAGCAATATTTAACTTACTGCCACTGGAATATCTGCTCCAGGATACACAGTACTCAGGATATACAAGCTTAAATGCAATTAAATATTTGAAAGTCTCAAGTGTTTTTGTCAGTGTTTTATTTTTAAAAACAGGTGAATCCACTTTTTATACATCATTGCACTTCAACAAATACACAGAACACAAGTTCATGCATCTACAGTTACGCACATCATGAGAACCCTGTTAGGTCTATTTCTACAATCTTTAAATCATGAGAAATTACAGTGTCAAACTAAAGATTAGAACTAGTTGCATAGAATATCACCATGCTGTAACATTTTATCATTTAAACAAAAAAGAAAATTATAAAAGTTTGCCTGAATTGAATGTACAAGAATATGTTGAACACATCAGTGCAAAAGGATTTGAGAATTTACATGAGTTAACAAAAAAATCACTTAAAAAGCAATCATATATATATATTTATAAACTGAAGTTTTGTTTTTGTTTCAACTGCATTTCTCCACCATCACCACCTTGTCGAACCGTTCCAGCTTTTGAAGTCTGATTATAGGACACCGAAGTCTTTCTATATAGGTTAAGCCCTTAAGATAATTTCAATTTATATTACTTCTCTGAGTACCAGAACAGCATAATTCTCTCATCTTTCAGACATACAGTAAGGAATGAACATCAGCAGCTTAAAAATGAAACACAATTACTGTATTTTGGTTTTCCCCTCCCCCAAATATAAATATATACTGTATATATTTTTAAGTTTTGCTGTACTTTACAAAAAGTATCACTAGATGGCAGCAGTGCGCTTTAGAGCTTTGCCAATTTAACAGCTACAGTAAGTAAAAAATGGTGCATGCGTGATCCGACTTACTACTTCTAATGTTTAAATATATTAAGGAAAAGAAAAGCAACATTCACAGCACATCAAGCCCAAAATAGTTTACACCTTCTACACTGAAGCAGTATTAAAATTTATCTGGCTAGGTCATCCTTACAGGAGAGGCTAAATAAGGCATGCTTTAGACAGTCATATTGTTGCTCACTTGAAAAGGAAAAAAATCAGACAGAACTGGAGTTCTAGAACCAAGAGTTCCAACCCTTAAATTTAGCAGGTCATATTGCCATCAGTCTCTCAGAAACTTAAAGCTCTAAAAAAGAAATGAGAAAAGGTGCTAGTCAATGCCTGACAGCATTTTCAACATCACGTGCCACAACAGTACTTAAACAAAGCGCTTAACATCCAATTTGGTCTTAAATGGAGGCACAGGCTTCCCAACCGAGCTTAGCTTCCGGGCTTTAAGATGAAATGAGGGCTCTTTTTATTAGTGATAGCGCTCAAACTCTACATAACTGCTACTATGAATCATTAAACTATCTACACATTTTATGAAAAAATTCTTTTGATAACCCCCAGTGCTCTTTGAAGCGTGACAGAAAGGCTAGTGCCATACTCTGAGCAGCTGGTAGCTTTAACACACAGAATGAGTTTGGTTTACATACGCAAACCGTGGGAGAAAAAGGAGGGCTTTAGTCTGACCGTTTCTGAGATGTGTGCAAGTCATACTTACATGATAAGCATTTTTAATTTGTGTTTCTCTGGCGTAAGTTTTTATCTTTATGATTGTTTGTAGAATTGGTTTTCCTGGGGAAAGAAAAAAAACGCATTAAATTACAAGCGTAGGAAAATTTTCTTTGTACATCCCAAGTTAAATAGGATGAAGGAAGAATGACATGCTAACTCCTTTGAAAATATTTGATTGTCAAGCAAGAATCTGGCAGATTTCAATTTTCATTACTTCACTGCCATCAAACAACAAACCAAGCAGGTATCATTCCCAAGCATCAGTGGTCCAAGCCCCCTTTATTTGGGAGCAGGGGCTTTTTTGTGCCTCTCCCGCAATAGACTTTTTACTCCCTTGGCCAAAAAAGCCAGAGATAAACTCAGAGGCTTCAAAGAGTGAGGATTTTGCCTGCTTTTACTTTGCTATATAACACAGGGCATGCTGATCTTTATTAGAGCTTTCATGTCACAGCTAGTAATGGCACACGTAACAGCGCTGCCAACTCCCGTAAGCCCCCAGAGTGATCTCAGCAATATTTTTTTTTCTTACGGTGCACTTACATTGGCCCAGCTGATTCATCATCTGCAGCAAGAATTCAGGTGCAATCCAGGGAAGACAAGGGAAGGAAAGAAAAGAGAGTCAGTCTTTGTACCGCTGCCAGCCCAACTGCAAACCAATCTATCTACAGCATTAAAGGCCATTCCACTTGGTAGTGCAAAGATTCATGGAGTTATTTTCTGGATTCAAGTTTTAATGGCAGGTATGTTGCTTCAATGGTTTTAGTTAACACTTTGAATGCTTGTCATGAAGAACTGCAACTGTAGCGGACAGATTGTTGCAATATGGTCAGGCTCATCTTGTCCCCAAGTTCCAGTGGTTCAATCTTATAAAAATAGATGAGAAGACAAACCAACATCTCAGTTGTAAAATCCTGCTGTTTGTTTTCTTGGATTGATTTTTAAGCCATCCTTCAACTGTGGGTGGGTAATTATTGGTATATACACAACAGGGTGTACACGCCATATGCTCATCTTCTACCACAGACGACACAGCCTTTTCATTTCCCATTTCTCTCAAGATCTAATTATCGGAGACCAGGTTAGGAGGAGGCTGAAGATTCAATACTTGATCCAAGTACCCAAGCATAGACCTGGGATAGCGGCAGGCTTTGTGTGCACGTCCGATAGAGCACAGGACTCAAAGCACCAGGAAAAATTCCGGTGTCACAACAGACTTCAGCTACGGAAGACTGACAGCATTGTTCTGCCTGTGTTTCCTGGCAAGAACAAACATTCTCTTTGAAGAATTGGAAAAAAATTGCCAACGAGTGATGTTTCATATGGGTTCTTTCATGGCCAATTGAATACTTTTTGAATTAAAAAAGCCCTTGTTTTTCCCCCGAGCTGCAGTACAGAAGATGGAAGTGCATTTAAGCAGCAGTACAAAAATCAATCCAGAAAGTTACATTAATGTTCCCGTAGAGGTATTTTGGGGGACCAATTCATGACCTGCTGTTTTGAGCACTCCACAGTTGCTGCTCCCCCTTGTGAGGGAGGGATTTTTCACTGAAGCCTTCAAGAAACTCTCAGCAGGATTCCACAAGGGGGCTTGGTGCACATGAAGCAGTTATGGAAATTACAGTCTGAACAGTGTGGGCATCCGCATGAGCACACGCTAGGAGTAATGTCTGTCAAACAGGACATTACTCCACCTGTACCTTCAAGGCAACGGAGAGGCAAAGCCACCGCTAGCACAGACAGTGACCGGAACAAAAAAATATTTCAAAAAAATAAAGAACTAACCACAAACCGAGAGCTTTACAGCCAAAAATAACATACTAGCGACACACCAGTGTCCACAGAAGTCCATTACCAGCAACAGTACACTATCGGACAAGATACAGAGAGAACTAGGACTAGTAAGGACAACCAGACATCAATGTGCTGTTGTATATACAGTGGAGATATACAGAGACACATCAGGTACTGAAACACAAAGCACAGTAGAGTAAATCTAGAGCCTCCCTCCACGATAATCTTTTGACTCACAAAAGATTGCAAAGCAGGCTAGGCTACGTACTCTGCGCACTCGGTGGGAAGAGCCTGGGACAGACAGCAAGCCCTGCGCCCCCCCAGCCCAAGCCAGTAGCACTACCGACGCCGTTCGGCGTTACCACTCGGTTATCTCAGCTTTCTACAAGCATCAGACAGCTTTGAGAGTTTGTTTTGCTGAACTTCAGAAATAGCAAACTGCACCATTAAGATACAAGCTCTCTCTCTCGCTACCAAATAACCATTGTTCCTTCCTCCTCAGTTAAAATATTTAGATGTGTATTTCAGACAGGGAGTTTAGTGTGTTAAAAGAAAAAAGCTTCACGTTTATAAAGGCTGCCAGCAAAAAGTTTCCCTGCCAAAGATCCAACAAAAATGCCTATTAGGATACTTGTGATTGTGCATAAAGCCTAAGACCAGTGGATCACCACCACTCGCCCCTTCCCCTTCTATAACCTAAACGGTGATAAAATGTGACCGAGGAAAATTTCTCTATGCGTTACTACCCCGGTCAGGCTTTTCTCTGCTGAAAAAGCATCCCCAGTACAGTACAGACAAAGACCGAAACCTGAGCGAAATCAGGGGGCAACAGAACAACAGAAAAAATAAGTACAAAATTAGATTAAATAAAGATTAAAAACAGCAAACTGAAATCCAAATTAGTCGTGAACGTGAATGAAGAAGTTTTAAGAAAAAGTGTTAACATTATGACTTGTGCATTGTATAGACTGAAGCGGAGATTAAACAAACTCCAAAGCATGCAGATCTCTCACTTACCACCATTTTTTTAAGGGTATGATGCAATTGAAGGGGGGAAAAAAAAGAAGTCATAGTAACCGACAAATATCAATATAACTCAAAACCTTTATGCCAGAAGACCTGCTCTAGTAACTGATTTCTATCGCAACAGTATTTAAAATGCATGGCCACAGAGAACCAGCCTCTGAGTATGCGGCTTCATTCCA